TGTAAGTCTTGGCTTCTGCCAAATAAGGTCTGCAGAAGACAATGAGCTCAATAATTAGGAGGGAAAATTCCAAAATATCAAGATAACAATGAATGCTCTAAATGACTTCTAGGAGCTGCAGCTTGTATAAGCAAAGAGAATAAAAGATCAGGATTCACAAAAGAAAAAAGAGAGGACAAAAGACACAAGAGACATGCAAATGGGAGAGGGTGAAGAGCAAACGCATTTTCTATTCAATTAATGCCAACTGGTGAATTCTTATTTAAGGAAAGATGTTAAGGTGTTTTCCTAATGGGCATGGTTCCACAGGGTTTCCTCAGGTGGGCTTCTTTTGGACAAATGGAGCATGAAGTACAGAGTTGATTGATCCCAGTTCGGCAGCGCTGCCAGGAAGGGCTGTACCCATCTGCTATAAATTGCATTTTTTCCGCCTCTTAACAGCCAATGTTCTGGAGCTGTTGAAAACCTCAAATACATTTAAACACAGAAGCAAACACCACAGGGTGGGGAGGCTGAGATTCTGAGCCATTTGTTTGCCTCAGCACTGAAAGCTCTGGGGTTGTGGGGACCACACCTCCTGTGTTAGTGGACAACACACATGGATGAAGATGTAGGGATGAGGAGGGCAGGCAGCAGTTCTCAGATGGAGCTGGGGTTTTTTTTATGAAGTTCTCATTGTTCTCCACAATTATAGAATATGATGAATATTCATGACACTGCCTCTCATGAAGAGCTGTACCCTAAGTCTTCCTGTGGACTTCATGTGTACACTACAGACAACTAGAAATAGGTCATCTCTACATGTGTATTATGTTAAGCCAAGATGTTTGTGACTTACTGCATATAAAGAAAAACCCAGCCAGTGAAATATATCTAAAGTTAAAATGTGCCTCCCAATTAAACAGGGAAAACCAATTACGTTAAAATGTATACCAACTTTAACTATAAGACAAAACTGCATATTGGTATATGCCTGTAAAATTAAATATATTTGGACATTTTTTCCCCATTTACTCAAAGTGAATCCACTTCTGGAGGAAGTAATGATTACTTTTGCATATGATAAATTTGCCAACTAATCTATTAGAAACAGATTGTAAATATATACAAA